TCGGCTCGTCACAAGAGTCCATCACGACAGAAACCCAATATTTTTACTGTTGCCTTTGTTATATTTGTGTTTTTTTTTATTTGTGCTTATAGAATATTTTATTTTATATATATATTCCACTCTCTGTCCTTCGGCTATATATACACACATATACACATATAAATGCATATACTACACACACACATGTATATATATTATTTGCACAGCCATAAAATCCGAACAATGAAAGCATTAAGCTAAAATTTGATACCTTTTATAAAAGATATGAGACATTAAAACACCGTCTATAATAAATATAATGCAATAAAGAGTAACCTAGTAACGGGAAATAAAAGCAGCCTTAAAAAGCTAGAAATATCAGCGCACCGCTAACTTATTCCTGTATTAAGGAAGCAGGAAGAAAAATGTCTTTTTCTGATTCTGCGAAAGCAATAAGGGCCACTTTGGGTGTCGGTTGGCAGGGTGTGGCGCCCAGCACTTTGAAGATAGTTAGGCCTGCAGTATTTTGATATGGCCAAAAGATAAGGCAATAAAGCCTCTATTGTATTTGCTTGGAACAGAGCTAAGAACAGAAATGAAGATGGATATTCTTCAGATACAGAAATCCCCAGCCCCAAAGGGTTTTATCCTTTGACAGTACACATTAAATTGTGTCTGAAAACAAGTGAAGAGGGAATGACGGTAGACTGATGGGGTGCACTCTAGTTTCATCCAACTCCAGTCTCTGTTTTTTCCTCAGAAATTGTGCTAACTGACATTACAAGTCATCTTCAGCGGCAGAACCAGATATAAATTACCAGGACATACTTTATCATAGAAAGTTTATTCTTATCCAGGTAGGGCAGTTACTGGTGTTTCCATGCACCATGCGGACATGGTCAACACTCAGAGGACACAATAAGAACAGAGAAATGAAGCAACTTTTGCTGTTCTTATCACCACAATAATTGTCTGTTTCTAGTCAGTTTCACTCCTTGTTTCCCTCCAGCAGCATTCTAGGCATCATCCTCTGGAGGCCCTCCAAAAACCAGGGAGCATAGCAGAGTCTTCACATAAAGAGAGTCTGCATAAATGCAGTCCAGCCTAAAGTTGCCAGCACAGCTTCATTCTAGGTGGAGAACAAGGACTCAAATCGAACTGTGTATCACAACCTCAGGTGTAATCCCAAACTGAAACCCACCAGGGTCCGTCAAGATGATTCTACTGCACAGGCCCAGCTTCCTTGGGAAGTTCACTTGCTACTGTTTTTCCAGCTTCTCTGATCTATGTAAACATGATCTCTTAGAGAATATCAGACTAAATTCTGCACATTGTCCATTTATTGCTGGTTTTGTACAATAACCTTTCCCCCCCTCCTCCTCCAGATGCCTGCAATTCTGTTCAGGAATCTGTGCCCCAGCTCAGCACCCACTCAAACCAACCAGGTGAGTTCCTTCTCCATCAGTAGATAGGAATTAGCCTCCCTGCCCGTTTACTTAACATATCTTCTGACGTGAAACACATGTGTAGCTTAGAACAAATTTAAGTGAATTTTCAGTTTCACAGCAATTTGATTTCTCTCTTAAACTTCAAGGAATTGCAGGGAGGTTATATTAAAACCTTAGTAAAGACAATATATTTGTGTCTACATGTGGTCAAGACTTTTGCCCCCCACTCGGAAGGTTGAGAGTTCAATCCTAGGTAGCAGCAGCTCTTTCTCTCCTAGAGCCAAAGAAAAAATATCTGCTGTGAACTCCACGTGGTGCCAGGAAGGGCATCCAGCTGGTAAATGCTTGGTTGCATACAGTCATCCCAACTCTATTCCAGATTAAGGGATTACAGGATCCTACAAAGGGTTGTGTTGCTCATATTATTTTATAAAGACTCGTTTCATCTGTTAGCTTTCGCTTCATATCTCGGGTTTAATTTTTTCAAAGTTGTTTGTATAGAATGAAACAAGCCTGGCTTGACAACATTGAATCTACTGCAACCAAGATATTTGTTGTTCCCCAAACAGTATTCATAAGACCCCTTAATTAAATAAAAATATTTTTATTTTAAAAAATTAAATATAGTTGTAAGCTAGTAATTTGTGCAATTTTTGTATAATTTCCCTTAGAGACTGAGATTTTGGCTCCTAAGGTAGCATGCATTCATTTTTTAACAAACATTCTCCTGAATGTCAAACTGGGCCTTGAATTATGAGAAAAGGAAATGATCAGAACATTATGGAGAGGAAGAGCATGATTTCACAGCATTCTTAAAATTATCTCCTACAGTGGATGTGGATTTTACTCTAGGATAAAGTGACAGAGATAACTTCGATTTCACTTAAGAATATATACCCTTAAAGCAGGGGTGAGCAGCTGACCACTTTATGATCTGACCACTTTATGACCTGTGGACTTCAACTCCCAGAATTCCAGCATGGCTCAAGAATTCTGGGAGTTGAAGTTCACAGGTCCTAAAGTTGCCATTGTCACCCACCCCTGCCTTAAAGAGTCTCCTATCACACAGCTTCATCTCCAGTGAAGAGAGGGCTGAAGCTGAACTAATGTAAATGTTGGTATATAATATATTACTATTTATTTTTCATTTCATTTTATTTTTTTTACAGCAGTTCTTGCCCCACGAATGCACTTTATTGAACGCCATCGGGATGCCCTGATTCAGAGAACAACCACAGTGGAAGAAATTCTGGACCAGCTACATGGAATTGCCCTGAGCGAAGAGCAATATCAAAATATCATGATAAAGCGAACACCCCAGGAAAAAATGAGGGAGCTCTTTAGCCTGCTGCCTGGATGGGATGAGCATTGCAAGGATATGCTCAAAGATATTCTGAAGGATAAAAGGAGAGCTCTCTATAAAGAACTTGAGGCCATAGATGCGAAAAACCATCTCAGGGCATAAAATATCCAGCTACACAAACATCCTAGGAATCCCACTGACAGGTACATACAGGTATAGACAACATACAGGTAGTCTTATGCCCACTTAATGTCACACCTGAGGCCCAAATTGATGTTGCTAAGTGAGAAACCAGTTAAGTGAGTTTTGCCCTCCATTTTACCACATTTCTTAAGTGAATCACTGCAGTCGTTAAATTAGTAACCCGGTTGTTAAGTGGATCTGGCTTTCCCTGTTGACTTTGCTTGTTGGAAGGTTGCGAAAGGGGATCACATGATCCCGGGACAATGCATCCGTCATAAATGTGAATCCGTTGTCAAGCATCCGAATGTAAGTCACATGACCATGAGGATGCTGCAACAGTCATAAGTGTGAAAAACTGTCATAAGTCACTTTTTCAGTACTGTTGTAACTTTGAACAGAAGAACTGTTATAAGTCAAGGACTACCTGTAGCATCTTGCGGAGTAGCTGTATTTACAGTTGTCCTGGTTACTGAATTGTTCTACTTTGTTGAGTTGGCATAGTACAGGTATTCCTTGACTTACAACCGCAACTGAGCCCAAAATTTCTGCTCCTAAGCAGGGCCGTTTTAAGCAGGTTTTGCCCCCATTTTATCGCCTTTTTGCCACAATTAAGTAAATCACTGCAGTTGTTAAGTAAGGTTTCCCCATTTCTTTCTGGGGAGCATTTCCACTATGTAATAACAATTGTAAGAGACCTTGGAGGTCTCCTAGTCCAACCCCGTGCTCAAGCAGGAGATCCTATACCATTTCAAACAAATGGCTGTCCAATTTCTTCTTAAAAACCTCCAGTGATAAACACCCTACAACTTCCGAAGGCAAAGCATTCCACTAGTTAATTGTCCTCACTGTTAGGAAGTTTCTCCTTCATTCTAGGTTGCTTCTCTCCTTGATTAATTTCTATCTGCTGTTTCTTGTCTTGCCTTCTGGTGCTTTATAAAATATATTCTGGTGCTCTGTAAAATATAGATGAAAAATATATTGATCCCTTCTTCACATCCACATTTCTCTTGCGTACTCATAGCTTTTGATTGTATTCCCAATGAAACTGCTTTTTATCCAAATAAATGTAAACATTTATGCAACATCACCAAGAAGTCTTGTCTAGATGTTATGGAGTGTAATTCCCCACCACCATCACCAATCCCTGGTCACTTGTCATGCTTGCCGATGAAATGGGAACCCACCAGAGGTGGGTTACTCCCGCTTGGGGCGAATCAGTAGTGGTGGCGGTAGGAGGCTCCGCCCACCCACCCAGACGCTTCTGGGTATGTAACATGCTTTTCCAAGGCTGGCCCTTTGGGTAAGGTTGCTTCAAAAGGCACCNAGAGGGTCCTTGAAGCACTTGGAGGTTTATTTGTGTCCTCAGGGTCCCCTGAATGGTATTCAGTCTACAATTTTTTTGGGGGGGGGGTGTCTGGAAATTCATTCCTATTCCCACACGATTCAATGGATGCTCATCCCAAATTGGGAATCATCCCCTTTTAGCTATACAATTTGGGCCGAACAGCCTTTGAATGGTGTGGGATGGATTTCCAGAGGGAAAAACAAATTTCAGACTACAGGAATCAGAAGCACTACTCGGGTGACCCTAAGGACACAGATAAATTTCCAAGTGCTTCAAGGACCTCCTAAAAAGGATACAAATGCAGACCAGTTGTCTACAAGGAATATAAAATCCTTCCATTCCCCACCACCCACTCAGAGCTTCTTGGATGAGAAGCGAAACGTCTTCAAAAGGAAAAAACAACAACAAGGAAATCCAGTTGTTTCCTGGAAAGAAAGAAAAAAAGCACGTTCGGGACGTTTGAAAAAGGCTGAGAAATCTGCACTTCCAGGGCAGCGGAGGTTCCTCCCTTTTCCGGAGGTGGCATCAGGAAGACTCGCTGAACGGAGCGAAATCGAAACGACTTTTTCGCCCTTTTCATTGCCATCCACCTTCCGAACGACTCGTGGTTTGGTGCTGATCCCGGAGTGGCGCGAATATGCCCAAATCCATGCGTGGATGCCTGGAGGAGACGCTGGAGGACTTGACGGAGGTCGAGCTCAGAAACTTCAAAGCGAACCTCCACGAATTCCCGGTTAAACAGGGCTACGACAACATTCCCCGAGGACGGCTGCAGAAGGCGGACGCGCTGGATCTGAGCGATCTCCTGGTCAGTTTCTACGAGGGCTACGCCCTGGAGGTGACAGCCGCGGTGCTGAGACTCTCCCACTGTAATCCCCAGGCCAATAAACTGGAGACTCTCTCTGGAATCGGTAAGGACGGGAGGATTAGGGCGTGGCGAATTTGAGGGCGATCGAAGCGCCTCACTTGATCCATATCGAGAAGGCGGAAATCTGTTCTGGGTTGGTAGCAGAGGAGTAATTTGCAGGATCTTGCCCCGTGGCCGTTCTTGTTGCAAACCGAAGCGCCAAGCCTTCACAAATCATCCTTTCAAAACTTTTTTTCGGCAAAGTTTATTCAAACATGAAACAAGAAAACCTATGAACGCATCAGGCCTATTTTTCCTTTGGCGCCTAAGGGTTTTTTTTTTTTAAGGTTTTTTTTTTAAAGGAAGTTAACTTCCTTCTATTTCTGTAGAAAACATTAAAATACAGAAAGTCGTGTAAAAAAGAAATGCACAGCACGGTCTGCAACTTTTTCACTGAGAGCACCAAAGACCAAGTCCTTGTGTGTCCAAGCACACTTGGCCAATAAAGAATTCTATTCTATTCTATTCTATTCTATTCTATTCTATTCTATTCTATTCTACAATAGTTTTAAAACCACCATGGCTTCTGCTTACTCTTCTTAATGTTTCATAGGCTCCCTTTCTTATTCTCACATATTTTATCATATTCTTCCTTGGATGTTTATGGCCCTTGCTATCTTCTGCAGTTCTTACACAGTACAGAGATTTGTCATTAACTTATTTAGCATTACCCAATCATTTCCTTACACGTTTGAAAAACAAATTATTTTTTTTAACTTCCTTGTAAAGTCCCACCTTTTTATCTTCACTTATTACGCCATTTCCTTTCAACTTATGAACTATGGAAATTTATTTGGCTTTTTAAATTTTAATCTACGTATTCTCTTTCTGGAAAATGCCCCTGTAAAATTTGTGAACAAAATTGCCTCAGAAAGAGCTCCCAGAATTCTTGGCGATGACCACTCTGGCTGTGACATTTGGGATTTTAAAGCATTTTTAAAGTGTTTGTTTCCTTTTCTGACAATTATCAGAAAGGTCAATTGTCAGAAAGATGTTCTTTTTTGGAATGGCATCCATGTTAAGTCTTACTCAGTCTAAGTCTTTGCCCCCATGGTGGCGCCTTTTGGCATGAGTGCCAGAGGTGGCACACAGAGCCCATTCTGTGGGCATGCACGCTGTTGCCCCAGCTCAGCCAGCTGGTTCTCAGGTTTCTAAGACATGCATCCACATCGGCCAGTTAGTCGTTGGGTTTCTGGCATGCGTGTGCACCTTTCAGTTTAGGACTCTGTGTCTAAAAGGTTCACCATCACTGGTATATGCGCTACCTGAACAGAATAGTCTCACTGAACAATTGCATACATATTCGCTGTGCTTGCTGTCACTCATTGATAAATAACTGATGCAACAGTAATGTGAAATGCAATTTGATTTTCTATAGAAACTTTAAGAAGTTTCATGTACAATATTTAAAAATGAGAAATTTATCTCCCTTTCAAGGGGAAAAAACTTTACTCCTGTAATCAGGGGGCAAGAGCTGGCATGCTTTGGTAGGAATATGGCCAGGGTTTTCCCCAGCCATTTTTCATATAAGTTGGCCAAGGCAGAGCAATGCAGATATGTTCCTACAGGCAGGAAGTCAAACTCAAGCAGTCAGCCAGCATGCTCTGATGCTGTTTTGCACACCCAGTTTCTCATCCTTCCGATTTACCACTTCCTCTAAAACATTTACTCTTTATTAGTACATATACTGAAGATGTTTGTTTTATGCTTCTTAAAGTGTTAGAATGTCTTCTCCCAACTCCAGGATTTGGGAAGGATCTAAAATGCTGTTAGAAACCATTAATTTGATCTCCCTATTCCCAAAGCCTAGAGCAGTGTTTTTCAGCCTATGCAACTTCCAGATGTGTGGACTTCAACGTCCCAAATGTCACAGCCAGAATGGTCTTCACTGAGAATTCTGGGAGTGGATGATCACACATCTCAAAGCTGCTTAGGATGGGAAACGCTAGCTTTGAGGCACGGGGAAGGAGTTTGCAGCTCGTCTAAGACTATCCTGTGAGCATGTACAGAGTTTTTCTCTTCTTGTTGTTTCTTGACAGGGAATGGGCCATCTAGTCGGCCATCTAGTTCTCCTGACCAGCATTTCATTGACCAGTTCAGGGAGCAACTGATCCAGCGAACTGTCACAGTGGAACAGGTCTTGGATAAATTGCACGGTTCCATCATAAATGAAGGACAATACCAACAAATCTGCTCACGGGAAACGAATCAGGCGAAAATGCGAGAGCTTTATAAGTTAGTTCCTGGCTGGAACCTCGAGTGCAAAGATCAATTCTACAAAGCACTGAAGGCTATCCACCCATTTCTCATCAAAGACCTAGAAGGGAGATGAAGCAACAAGGAAGATGGAAAATTAAATCATTTTATGCACGCACACACACACACACACACACACGTAAGCATGGTTTAGAGAGTTTATTAATGCTCCCCAGCAATTCCCTTGACCCAGCCTCAGAACTATCCCAAATAAATACAGCCACAAACAGGCCAAGGTTAATGCACAAGGCAATAGCCAATAGTCCATAATGGAAAGTCGCTGCAACAAATAAGTTCACCAAACAAATTTAAATCCACCAGGCCAAACTGAAATATACTCACAAGAGTTTACTTGGCAAGAGAAGTTCAGAGTCTCCAAAGTCCAGCAGGAAGCACCAGGAAGAAATACTCACAGCCAGAAACCAAACACATTGTTCCCAGCAATGCCCCTCTCTGCCTGCTGCAATAAATAGCTTTACTGTGCAGCCCTCTGCCGGGGGGGGGGGGCTTCTCCCGAATAATGTTGCATATCTCCATTGCTCTTATCTTTGCCCTGCGTCCTCTTGGATCCATGGAAGGCAGCTCCTCCTCCTCCTCCTTTTCACTAACTGTCCTCCCCTCTTTCAGCCAGCTGTTCAGAGATATTAATTAACCTAGTTCCTGATATGCCAGGAATGAATTCATCCTTTCTTGAACTGACCTCCGAGGAAGAATATGAGGAGTCATCCAAAAGACCCAGCAGCCCCAGAAGAAAAAAACAGGAGGGATTGACTACAGTGTGTAAAGACCACAACAGCCACTCCGAGGACAAACAGGCAGAGGAGTAGCAGGGATGCATCCATGAACACCAATTCGCAGTCAGAACACATGATGAAAACTTTAGTTTTGCAACGTATGGACCGATTCAACTATAGTTTCAAATTGGAAATTTTGATCATCTTAGACTAAGCCAAGTCCAAAAACCCTAGAGAATTCCTGGAAGTCTGACACTCTGACAGATTGATCATCAATGGGCAGATGGACATAAACAATATCTACATACTGTGACAAAGAGGCAATCAATAAGCCAAAAAAGGGAACAAAAAGACACTTCTCCACCAGCAATCAACATCCAGATAAGCATAGATTAACATCAAGATTAATATCAGACCTACAATCAAGAAGTAAGCAATACCACAGGCAAGTAATTGCCAAACAAGCTAACAACAGTTCAACCCAAAACCTCAAAGATTATTCCAGGACTGACAGAACAAGCTACTATACCAGTGATGGATACCCTTTTTGGCACCGAGTGCTGAAACTGGAGCATGTGTGCGCGCCGGAGTGTCGGAGCATGGAAAAGAGCAGCTAGCCAGTGCACATGCATGTGACAGCCAGCTGCTCTTCTGGGGACCACCATGCGCATGTGTGCTGGCCAGCTGATCTGGCATGCATGCCCACTGGCCAGCTGCTCTCTTCCAAGTTCTGGCATACACATGCATGGCCGGTGTGCATGAACATGCCAGAACCCGGAAGAGAGCAGCTGGCCATTGCAATGTGTGCCAGACCAGCTGTCCAGCGCACATGCGTGGCCGGTGCGGATGCATAGCAAATCAGCTGGCCAGTGCATGCACCCAAAAGCAGCTGATGATGACATGCATGGCCACAGAGTGGGCTCTGCGTGCTACTTCTGGCATGCGTGCCATAGGTTTGCCACCACAGCACTATACTATAAAATGAGACCAAACCCTACTCCCCACAAGCACTGATGATGTTGCCTAATTGGGCAATGAAACATTTCACCCAAACAAACCCATTCACAGAAATAAATTTAAGATGTTTGTAATAAGTGGGCCTGCTTGTGATTTGTCATTTTTTAGAATGATTACAGTTGTCAGAAAACAGAAGAAAATGGGTTGAAACAATTATTTGGCATTGAAGACGAGATTTGATTACATGCATTGGAAAATAGCAGCATTAAATGTTTTAATTATTGAATCAGTTTTTTTAAAAAAGAATTATTGACTTTTAACATTCTGATCAACACCCTACTATAGTTATTGTCATAGAGTTAAAACTAAATAAAAATGTTCAAGAATTGATTTGAATATTATGTCTATCCAGTACTATAAATTTATTTGAGATACTATAAATTTAGCATTTTTGAACATTTCTTGGGTTTCTACTCATCCTACTAAAGTACAGGCAGTCCTCTACTTACGAACACAATTCAGCCCAAAATTTCTATTAGAGACATTTGTTAACTGAGGTTTGCCGCATTTTACAACCTTTCTTGCCACAGTTGTTAAGTGAATTATTGCAGTTGCTAAAGTACTAACAGGGTTGTTAAGTGAATCCAGCTTCCCCATTGACTTTGCTTGTCAGAAGGTCCCAAAGGTTAATCAAGGGACCCTGGGCACTGCAACCATCATAAATATGAGTCAGATGTCAAGGGTCTGAATTTTTATCATGTGTCCATGGGTATGTTGCAACAGTCATACATGTGAAAAATGGTTCTTTTTCACTTTTTTCAATGCCATTGTAACTTCAAACAGTCATTAAACAAAAACACAGTAAGTTTGAGGACTACCTATAATTAGGGAGCTACTGATGAGGGTCCCCATCTACCAGTAGTTAAATGGGGAGGGGGCTAACAGTGAGCGTTCTTCGTAGAAGGCCTGTTTGGAAAATGTTGGTCCCTGAAGCAAAGGTGACCTCTATTCTCATGAATTGCTGAGTAATTTGGAGAACTGGCAAATACCACCTCTGGCTGGCCCCAGAGTGGGGAGGGAATGGAGATTTTGCAATATCCTTCCTCTGCCATGCCCACCAAGCCATGCCCACAGAACCGCAAGTTTAAAAAAAATGGAATTTCACAATTGCTCTCACTGTACATAAAAGCAACAAGTCATAAATCACAATCATAGAATACAATAATCATATTCATAAGATGCAACACGGTGATAGTCATACGATGCAAAAAGCAACCCTAGGCTACCAATATTATCCTCTATTGGTGCCCTTCTTCCTTCTGTGCCCTGGGGCGCTGAGGTTTGGGTCCATTCCTCTATTCAAGCAAGACACAAATCAGAAGTCTCCAAAACTTTATTAAGATTCTGCAACTTTATTAATATTCCCCATGTTCTAAAAAAAAAGGCACATTTAGTGTTTGGCACTTTGTTTTTTTGGTAGCTGCAAAAAAAAAAACAAGCAGGTAAGCACATTCCTCCACGGAGCTGTGCTATGTAAATTCTTCTGTTGGATTTCTGGCAGTATAAAAAGAAAGGGGGAGTATTGTAATTTAAGTAACAGAGCTGGAAGGTATCTTAGAGGTCATCTAGTCCAACCCCGTTCACGGAGGAGACCTATACTAGGGATTCGAACCGCCGAACTGGCGACCTTTCTGATTGACAAGCTCCGTATCTTAGTTTACATTTACAACCTAGTCAGGCTGTTCTCATCCTTCGCAATGTATCCGGAGCAAAGTCCTCATCCCTCCCCCATCTCTCTTAGGTCCTTATCTTGGGTGTTTCCTTTGGTCTCCTAGCAACCGCCCCCAAGATTCTCCCCCGCCCCTCTCTAATTTCCCCCCTGCATCATGTGAACTTCAAGGATATGACGTCATCACTGGGTTCCCTCTTATCCTTCTCTAAGCATTACCTACATTTGCAAGCCTGCAGGGTTGGGAATAACTGTCTGGGTGTTTTGCAATTGCTCTGGATTACGCCTTAGGAAACGAAAAGCAAAAGTGCGAGAATTTCGCGAAGTCCGTTTTCCAGGATACGAGGGCGGTTTCGAGATGGAAGAGGAGCATTTAGGAGGGACGGAGGAAAGGGAGGGATCCAGAGACAAAGGTAAGAATAAAGATCTCATCTAAGGAGCCTGAAGCTGCTAATTTCTTTTAGACGAGATCATAACTGTTTTAAGAGCTTCTTTCTTGTGTATGCAAGCTGAAAACCACCGAGCAAATTGGTGCAATTTATTAGTATCTCAATTATGCAATATTTTTTTTATTCTATTTTATTTTATTTTTTTATCTTCTTCGGGCTGGTTATGTGCACCTTGAAAACTTAATGCAGTCTTGAAAAAGCCAGGAAAGTGGAAATCAGAATAATACGGATCTCTGTATTATCTATGAGAAATAGGTTTTAAGGTATAGAATAGAACAGAATAGAATAGAATAGAATTCTTTATTGGCCAAGGATGATTGGATGCACAAGGAATTTATCTTTGGTGCATATGCTCTCAATGTACTTCAAAAGACAAGATACATTCGTCGTGAATCATAAGGTACAATTAAGAAATCAAATCATACTAGGAAACAATATAAATTGTAAGGATACAAGAAACAAAGTTACAGTTGTACAGTCATAAGTGTGAGGAGATGGGTGATAGGAACGATGAGAAGTTTAATAGTAATAGTAATGCAGACTTAGTAAATAGTTTGACGGTGTTGTGGGAATTATTTGTTTAGCAGAGTAATGGCATTCGGGGAAAAACTGTTCTTGTGTCTAGTTGTTCTGGTGTGCAGTGCTCTATAGCATTGTTTTGAGGGTAGGAATTAAAACAATTTATAGATGTGAGGGGTCTGTAAATATTTTTACAGTCCTCTTTGACTCCTGCAGCATACAAATCCTAAGCTTTTAAGCTCTGTAATTGAGCTTGGGGGAAATATTGAGAAATGAGGAAATGAAACAGGAAGGGATTTTTAAAAACAGGAGTGTTTTCAACAAAGGCGACAGGCAGCAGATTAATTTATTTATATATTATATATATTTAATTTATACTCCCGGTATGGGGTTAGAATTCTTTCTTTTGACTGTCTCTGTACCAAAATGGAAGAGCAATTGGCTGGTTAGAAAAGCTAAATACAGGAAAACATGTAGTAGATTGTTCAATTGCCCAAGACTCCAGGAAATGCAAAGATGCAGCTCTTCAGAATTTGCAGTTTTTTCTATTTCCTCTTTTGAAACCTATCCCTGTTTGTTGCACTGTGCTAAAACAGATTAAAGATTGAGTGTGGGTCTTAGCATCTGCTTGTTTAATTGCTATACGAAAGGCTTTTATTCCCCAAATCCTGTAAATTAAATTCTGCAGGCTGAGTGCTCATCTTCCATGCCCAATCAACATCTTATGGCCAGGTGGCAGCTGCCATCAGCCACAGATGAGTTGAATGTCATAGCTCATGATAGAATGATGCCCTGAGCCACAACCTGGTATATGACATGTAAGCTTGGCATACAATACAGTGGTTCATTCTGTTGTGCAAACCCAGAAAATCAGATTGGCGAACCTAAGATGTGCTGCGAAACAATGCCACAAGCTGCCTGCCTTCTGGTTACTATAGAACAGAGATGTCAAACTCAATTTCATTGAGGGCCACATCAGGGTTGTGTTTGACTTTGGGGTGGGGGGAAACCAAGTCAAAGTCACTTGTGTCGGGGGTACCTGTGGTGACTCAACCACTCTGCTTTTGGCTGTGATGTCCTGCAACACTCCGCGGCAACCCTCCTGAGCTCTGTTTTCGCTGGCAGAGGCACTGCAAGCTGTTTCCAGGATGTCCCCACAAGCCACATTTAAGCGATTTGAGTTTGACACCTCTGCTATAGAAGAATCTGCCATGTTGAGATGCGTAACTCTGTTCTCTAATATTTGGATTTATGTTCCCAATGAAGGATCCTAGTTACAAGATTCCCTATTTGACACTCTGCAGACTTGTGCTTTCTGCACAGGTAAACCCACCAGTGGCTGGCCAGGTTAGGTGGCCTTACTAGAATGGACCTTATAAATTCATATTAGCTTGGCTTTTCATTCTAGTGCCCTGGAGTTCCAAAGTTGACTTTTAGCTGGAGT